ACGTGGCCATCATACACCAGAAACTTGCAGAAAGTCACATATCCAACAGATAGAGAAGTGAACAGCAATCTGATACAGCCCACACAGGACAAAGCGGACCTGATACTCGTCCCAGGATCGCAAGTGGCAAACCCTTTTCAATGCATAACATGCAGGTGTACGTTAGACGCATGAACATCTGACCGTGTCGCCAGCATACAATGTCATCACATGTTTACCCCACAAGTTACACACATGCACAGTAGAAGCACAATGAAAGCAATGGAAAAGTACGATGTGGTTGCTGAAGCATCTTCACACTTCAAATTCAGACTTCAATGTGGTCGTCACGGGATGATATACCTGCAAGATACAAGTGATGCCGGAAGAAAGAAAGCAGAAGGTCGTGAGGTAGGCTATGACAGGCGCGTCGGAACGACTTTGGAGGTGGGGCGGCCATGGAAGGGGGGTCCGGGGGTCCTTCCCCGGGAAAAAATTTCAAAAATGAAAGCCAATTGCAAGCATTTCCGGGCATTTGGTGCCATTTCAGTGTACGGTAACTACAATGAAAGACTTTTGATTCTGCAAAAAACCAAGAAGATGCTACGATCGGGGACAAACATTACCCTCCCCCGGGAAAAAAATTCAAAAATTGAAGCCAATTGCAAGCATTCCCAGGCATTTGGTGCCATTTTAGTGTACATGGCCTTTTGATTCTGCAACAAACCACGATCGGGGACAAGGATTTGCCACGTTTGCGCTGAGATCATCGCGCTTTGTTGCAGTGTGCTAAAAAAAAAAAAAAAAAAAAAAAAACGGCCGAAAAAGTGGGGCGGCCATGGCCGCCCCGGCCGGTGCGGTTCCGACACCCTTGTATGAGACACCACAAACGGTTCACCTACATGTCTGTTCAGGGCTAGTGCACTCACACGGAGAATTGTCATAATAGAGCATTTCCCAAACTGAGAAGTGCAATGAAATCCACTTGCATGCACAGGAGCAATTTTGCAATATTGTGATGCGCAATTCGACACGATCTGGGATGCTGCGTGCGATGTGCCCTGCTGTCATGATAGTGACAGTCACCGCGGTATGTTTTGTCAACGTCGCCCGTGCACTCTTCTGTCAAGTCCAAAGTGCTCACATACTTGGCAATGTTTTTGCAGTGATTAACTTTTATCCTAGTTATGTCACGGGTAACTTTAATGAAGTACCCGCAGGCCGTGTCGATCTGCACATCGTCCACTCTCTCATGTACTTGGCCTGCTTTGTCTGTGTATCCATTTCATGTGCGATCCACAAAATCGACTAGACAGTGGGTGCAATACGCTCTCTACCTGAAGACGTTCTTCTGGCGACATCTCGCCATGTACTTGGCCTGGCTTTGTCTGTGTATCCATTTCATGTTCGATCAACAAAATCTCAATGCACTACAGAGACTAGACAGTGGGTGCAATACGCTCTCTATCTGAAGACGAGAACCATTAAATTTTTTTTGGAAAAGTTATACGTACACCTGAAACGTAATGAAGTACAGGAATAGAGAGAGTGACTACAATATGCTCTCGACCTGATAATAGTGATAACGTGAGTACAAGACACTCTCCACCTGATAACGTGTTAGAAGGTAACATGTCTACAGTCCCACCGTACCCTTCCGACACGACTGTAGACCATTAAATTTTTTTGAGAAGTTATACGTACACCTTAAACGTAATGAAGTACAGGAATAGAGAGAGTGACTACAATACGCTCTCGACCTGATAACGTGAGTACAAGACACTCTCCACCTGATAACGTGTTAGTAGAAGGTAACAGGTCTACAGTCCCACCGTACCCTTCATCATTCCTCATTCACCATCGCGCCGATACCCTGGCACACACTGGCAACATATCAATGGGGTGCCTTACCGTCGTCTAGAGGAGACGTCTTCGCAGCAATATTTTCCCTCCTGCGCATTCAGTCGCCGACGCGACAGCGTTCACGGGGCCGTTCCAGTTGCGGAAGACATTCGATTCATCGGGCCAATTCAGAAACAGGGCCGTGGACACACAGGGGGCAGAGGAGAGACATTGTTAGTGGACAAGAAATATGCAGTGGCAAGTGGCGAGTGCCGCATGGATGTCAAGTTGTCATGCACAATTCAGCTATTACTTACGGTCCAGCTAGGCCTGCCATTGCTCGCTCGTCCTGGTTCCTCCTCGTTCGTCTTCCTGCACGTCTGCACTTCTCCTTCCCCACCGTTGGCTTTGCGGTACGAGGGTGCCGGAAGGAATTCCCACCATGTATCCATGTACATGAAGTCCCACCATGACTCTCCATGTACATGTCCACGGCCACGTCAGCAGTTTGTATAGTACCGGAAGGAGTTCCCACGATGTCCTCCAAAGGCCTAGAGCGGACGTCTTTGCAGCAATTCTTTTCGCCCTGCGCATTCAGTTCGCCGACGATGTCTCCAAAGGCAAAGGCCTAGAGCCTAGTAGAGAGGACGTCTTTGCAGCAATTCTTTTCACCCTAGTACCCTGCACATAATCATTCACTCCGCCGACACGACAGCGTTTACGGGGCCGTTCCAGGTGCAAAAGGTCCACGTTAGCAGTTCTCAACTATTTCGCGTACGGGATAGTCGCCGCGACAGCGTTTAAGGGGTCGTTCCAGGTGCAAAAGGTATCCATCAATGGCACTTTGCAGTATGGGGCACGGAAAAGGGGGCCTCCTCGTTCGACTTCGTCGACTTCTGCAGTTCTCCTTCCCGTCAGGGGTACCGAAAGGGGCCTCCTCGCAGTTGTCCTTGCCGTCAGGTCCACGTCATGCGCAGTTCTCAACTATTTCGCGTACGGGATAGTCGTCTTTGTCGTACGCGACATCGGCGTTTACCGAGTGGCATTGGCACAAAGCAGACCGTTGACGGGTCACGTGTCAAAAAAGTATCAACAACGTGTCGACTACGTGTCGACCACGTGTATAGCGGTACACTCAGCGGTACACTAATTCTCGTGCCATTCTCGTGTCACAAAACTGGAACATCGAGTACCAGTATGGAAAGGCTTCAGACAGGAAGCCTTTCCAATTTGACTAAAGGGTCGTCGCAAAAGCTTTCTGTCGTCCCTGAAACGAACATCGTTCATTTCGTACTCGGACCCCCTCCCCTCCCTCTAAAACGAACACAGCTTGCTATGCTGGACGACGAAAATCGCATGCATGTACATGTCATATGTACAGTGTCGGTCGACTTGCGATTTTGGCTCGCACCCCCTCCCCCCCCAAATGAATCATGTTCGTTTCAGGGACGACGAAAAACTTTTGCGACGACCCCTAAGCAGTCAAATACGCGATATATTTGACCGCTTAGGTATCAGGGAAATTAGTGGGGTCAAATACTAAGAAGGCGATAATGGATATTATAGTGTAACTTGTAGTTCCTTGGTCCTTTTTACTTTTTATAAATGATCCCTCAGATCTTTGACTTTTGTTTGAGTTTGACTCATACTGGACTCGACACAGCTATCAGGTACACTTGGTTCACGGCAACTTATTTTATCTGCACGTGAACCATAAAATTCTATGACTAAAAATTTGTAAAAAAATGTGCCAGAAGTACCCAGAACACAGGATTTTGTGTCTTTTTTTTACAAAATGTTCCCATGGGAGGACCCCACGACCGACCTTCACAGCCCGCTCCATCCTTTGGTCGTACCAGTTCCCAAGCCCCTCATATACCCCTGGTTTTTAGGAAAGGCTGGAGAGGATTAATTTTATTCCATACTACCGCCAGTTGATCCAGTTGAAAGCCAGGAAGGGGAGAGAGAGAGGGAAGAGAGGGAAGAGAGTGCCAGTCGCAAATATTATTTGTTTTGTAGAGACGCACAACTTGCCCTCCCCCCTCCTCTCCCCGTCAGTTTGGCTTTCCACTCCACTGATCCACTGTTGATCAGCTGCTGTGCTTCACCACAGCAGTTACCGAAACATGTAATGCAAAATCACATTGCGATGGCTTGTTCCTTGATTTCTCAAAGGCGTCCAATTCGGGCATTGTATTTCTCCGTAGATGTACAATGCAATACCGTGACAAAACTGCTGTTATGTAGATCTTGACATGGGCTGAATGCTGGGCTATTTGCAGACCAAGCACTGAACATCACGACATATATACACACAACATGGAGGTCAGACAAAGCCAGAACACATATCATTAGACTGTTCTAGTTCTAAGTCAACTGTGGGAGACACCTTGGCTGCTCATTGTGTGTCTTTGTCACGGATAGTGACTTATGCACTGAATTTATGTGTATGCAATCCACTAAAATTCTACTTGGCGGTTCAATTGTGTCAATCATTCATAGGGTTCCCTGTAATAAGACGACGAGGGTTCCCCTATTATCCGATCCGTTTTCATAACTAGGCACTACAGTTCTGATTGTGTGCATACACACGTGCAATTGAAACAAGTAATAAGCCTCTTGTACGGGCAAAGCTGAAATTCACTGTAGCTCAATCTTGAAAAAAAGCGGTACGAACTCTAAAACCAGAAAAATAATAATATGCAGCGCAAAATAAGGTGAAGGAAAATAATAACCGGTCAAGGGCTAAATACAAACAGAAGAAAAACCGGAATCCGCGAAAATTATAACATACAGAATGAAACAATCAACTTGGAAACAAACAGTCTAGTCGAATACGGGTTATGCCACATGACCCCAGTATAATTATGTTTTAGCCCTTTCTTCAATTTTGCCTCTGTTTGTCTATCTTTCTATATTGGGTATCTTTCTATATTATGTATGTGTCTGCATGTCTTTCTGTCTGTCTGTCTCTTTCTCGCTGTCTTTCTGCCTCTCTGTCTCTCACTCTCTCTGACTCTCTCTGTGTGTCTGTGAGTGTGTGTGTGTGTGTGTGTGTATCTTCTCTCTTTCTCTCTCTCTCTCTCTCTCTCTCTCTCTCTCTCTCTCTCTCTCACTTCGCGGATTTATCTATAGATCTTTTTTCTCTCATCTCTCTACTTTCATGTATCCTACTGCAGGGATTCTGTAACATAGAACAGCCTGTAGACAATGACCAGCAGTAGTACTGAACCCGGACTTGCTACCGGCAATAAAGGCAGCAAAGATGATGAGCTCAACGATCAGTTGAGGATTGGCAAGCTGCCATGGTATATTCATGTTCTCAGACTCACAGTTACGTGTGTAGTCATCCCTGGCGTTCTGGCAAGTGCCGGTGCTATTGTGGAGGCGATCGTCTATGGCACACTGAACAAGGCACATTTCAATGAAAAGTATGCGCTGTACTCGAGCCTGATTGCCATTCCCCTCATACTGGTGCGCTGGTACTGGCAATGGCCGAAACACCTGCTCAAGCTAGAGTTTGCTTACTATGTGATAATCACCACTGGCTTTGTGGCTGCAGTATATTCCGTGACTATTGCCGGACCAGAGGTATATCGCACTGGGGAGCATATTCGCAAAGTGTTTGGTGGTCCCGACAATGCCAGGTACTCTGATATATCGACTGCGGAGGATATTCACAACTGGTTATCAGCGACAATGGATTTTACATTCCATGACAACTTGGAGGTATCTTTTGGTTCCCGGGAACTGCCTGGAAGAATGGCCTTATTATCTTCTATGCGAGTAATGCAGTTCCGTAGTCCTGTGAAAGAATGTTCCAAATACATCAAGAGCCTCTTAATTGCAGGGGCATCTCAGTGCTACGAATCACGAAGCCAGTCAAGCCGGCAGGACACCAAACCCTTCTCCAGTCTCAACTACAGCTATGTTAACCCATCGTATGTGTCCTTGTCGCTAGAGAGAATCTATGCAAGTGATCTTGTCCTGCACGGTCAAGAGTACAGCTATCCACTGGCAGGACACTGGGTCATGTTCGATCTAAACTTCTCCAGACGACGGGTACTGACAATGCTGAGTGCCATGAGAAACCCAGACCATCCCTGGATTGATTATCAGACAGCCATGGTTGCCTTGACATTTGAGGTTCTCATAACTGATTCTCCAAAGACCCTTTTCTGTGTAGTGACATTTGTCATTGAGAGAACTACCAGTGGTCTGTTCGTACCCAGCCCACCCTACATCGGCATGAACAATTTGAACGACGTGGAGATCGGCGATTTCCGGACTGATCTTCCTCCTGGCAAATGCATCCCTGTGGCCACACACAAGGACTTTTTCACACTGCTCTATCTCATTGTTCTACCCGGTGTGCTGTATACCATGTTTCGGCATGTTCTGCGAGCGCACTACAACTTGTCCAAGTACCTGCTGCACCCGTTCACCTACTCTGAAATCGGCTGGGCCATCTGTGTGCTTCTATCAATGATCTTCCGCTGGCGTGCTGTGGCATTTGAGCATTGTGATATTGCTGAAGTTCCCCAAGATATCTATGGAAGCAATGAGACAGAAATGGTCATACTGTTTGAGTCACTGGGTTCGGCTGACTCCTGGTTTGAGTCACGTCGTGTTCTGGGAATGGCAGTGTTCCTGCATCTCTTCACGGCGCTCAAGTTTGTTGTACAATTACCAGCGTTAAGTGGTCTGATCCGTACACTACAGCTAGCTGGTCGTGAACTCACTTCTTTCTCTCTGTCATTTGCAATCGTCTTCACTTCGTTCGTGTCCATGTTTTACATTGTCTTCAGTATCGAAGCTCCACAGTACCAGTCAATTGCTCACTGCATTGGCACATTGTGGCTTGGAATGCTCGGTGAGTTTGAGATCTCGCCGGAGCTGTGGCGTGTGAAGGCTTGGACGCTACCCGTCGTCATCGTATTTACATTCATTTCCGTGTTTGTGCTGCTGACTGTGATCGTGGCCATCATCAGCGACGCACATGAGCGAGCTCGCCTCGAGAAGGAGAAGGCGCAGGCGCAGAGACAACGAATTTCCGACATGCTGTCCAACTGGAAGCAGCGGAGGTCACGCGCCGCCAGTGCAAGAGCCTCTATGCCCAGCCGTCATGGCGGTCGGGCGAATTCTCTGTTTAGACGCCTCTCAATGACACCACTACTGTCCAGGAGCAGTAAAGCCAGCAGCACGCATAGCTCTAGTAGCTCTAGTAGCATTGGCCTTCCCGCTAAAGATTCTCCTCGCGACTTTGCAGGAGTGGTGAAGTCGACCATGCTGAGGCCACCACCTCAAGGACAGGAAAGAATTGCAGAGGAAGAGAGCAGAGGCAGCCAAGAGAACCTAGAAGGCGAAGCGTCTTCATATGACATCTTGCCAGCAATCACTGTACGCCGCGTCAAAGCCAGTAGTGAGACTGGATCTGCAGTTGGATCAACCTCTAGCCTCCTCCGTAATGGCGGCGCTTCTGATGCACGAAGCTCGAATGAAAGCAGCCATTCCCGTACCAATCTCACGGCGGTCTCGTCAACCGAGTTGGATGCAGGTGAGACGCACACTGAACCCAAACCCTCCTTTCTCAAGGATCTGTATAACGGTGCCACGCGTAGAAAACGCAAAGTCATGCCTGCCTCTGAGCCCCTGCCTCCCATACAGACAGGAGGCTACAAGAAAAGTAGTGACGGTGCGACATTGAGCGCTTTCACCACTACCCAGACACATGTGCAGAGGAGTGACCATGACCTGGAAAAGGGGGAAAGTCCCTGATTAAATTAAGGCAGTGGAACCTGTATGTACTGCTGCATTATTTCTGTCAAATTATCAGTTTTATCAGTATTATTGTTGCAATGATTAAAAAACACCAAGTCTTGAGTAAGTCTTTGTAGAGTGTGTACAGACAATTCATCCATATTTAGACAATTCATCCACTTTCAGGTGAGCAAATCCCAAGCTAGCATGCTTCACAATTTTGTTCTACAATCACGGTTTCCAATTAATTGCCTTCGCATTCTGACTTCACGCCCCCTGTATGTTGTGCTTGATTGCTTTGAGTCGTAGACCCACCAGTTGCTTTGTGATCACGTCCAATGTATACACATCATGTATGTGCTTTGCCCGCTACTTCTGGTAGTTTGAGCACTCTCAGCGCTGGTACATCGAGCTGTCCTAATGTCTGTGGTTCTCGTAGCCATGGCTGACAGTTCAATCCTATTTTAAGCTCGGAGTTGCACTGATGAGGCCTCATTGGCCAAAACAGTCTGGCTGTGTGCATCATGTACATGTACATGTATGTGCAAAATATTACTTTCCTCTTCTTAGACTCTTTACCGTGTGAAAACCTCTGCTTGAGGGCAGTGAGGATGCCAGCGCACAGATGGCAATGTGTAAAGTGCATCACTTTCAAAGGCCTGACCATCATCTAGCATGAAACTAACGGCACTCGGCAGGGGCTCTTCTACAACACGCCTTCTATACCACTCGAGTCTACAGTGGCAGAATATGGCATCCAACGTCATTAGTATCATGTTCTATGTCACATGTGGCCTGCGCTACAGCTATGTATAGAGGTTCTGCGAAGGATTCCCTTGGGTGAGTCAGTGGAACTGCTTTTGGGCGCTAAGTATAGAACATGAGTCAACGGATTCGCTTATGGGCGCAAAGTGTGCAGCGTGAGTCGCTAATGCAAGTGCGCCGCAGTGCCGCGGGTCCGCGACTTTGCCGACCCATCTCAACTGATGCATGATGTAATCACGTAATCAGTGCTCGAACTTAACATCACCATGGTGATGAAGCGAAACGCGGCTTGCAACTTAACTGAACATTCGTTTCTACAACGAAGACTTGGAATTAGCAAGGCACGGTCCTAGCGCCTAGCCTAGGTTACAGTAGGTATGTGATCATGGTGATCCCATGACAATCAACGTGTCCCGTATTCCGTAACTGGTAACAACGGACAGAGTCTAGACGTCTGTTCACACGTATCACTTGGCAGCTCGGTCACGTCACACACCAATGATCAAAATCCTACCCATGTCCATGCAGCATGCTCTTCACGCGACCTTGCCAGGACCTATGAAGTATGATGATGGGGGGCCGGGGGGGGGGGGGGGGGAGCCTCTTGTACATGTACATCAGGGAGTCGTACTCAAACTTAGTTTGAGTACGACTCCCTGATGTACATGTACGGGCAAAGCAAATGTGCTGACATATGAAACAATTATCTCAATACAAAAAAATGAACGGACCTATGATGTATGATGATGGAGTGTGGCTGTGTACGTACGTGTGTAGACGATCGGTACGAGTCTGCGTGTGGCTATGCGCAATATGCGAAAATTTGACTTTTGTGTCTAGCACTAAACGTGTCACTGACACAGACTAATGCCAGGGAGATCACCAGTCAGTCGAGCAGGAACCACTTGGCACTTGCTTCCTGGAAGCTGTCCAGTATAGATGTTACGAGCGGAGACGACGCTACTGCTAGTAGTAGTGGCAGCAGCAACGAAGCTGTCAGTGTTTCCGCTGTCGGAGTTTCTTGTTGTGCCGAAATAGGTCGCCTATGACAGTAGAGAACGCGACGCAGTCATCTTGTTCGAAAAGCCGCAAAGTTATCTTTCCATTATTTTGTTGCGTGCGCATTGACTCCTGTATAATTATTCATGCTGCTGGGCGACTGGATGCCTGGACAGTACCGACGACCTTCTTCTGCCTATGCCTATGCCTATGGACTTATAATACTAAGTAAGTCTTTGGTGGAAGTCTTACTGAACGGCTGCGGGGATTGTTCAACGACAGGTCAACATGCAGACTAGACCCTCACTCAGGGGACTGGGTAGGCCGGTAAGGGTATCATTCAGTCTTTGTTGCTTGTTCTGACTTCTGATCACAGTACTATTATTACCTGGTTTGAGGGAAAGAGACAAACGGGAAAAGTCTGAAGAAAAAATTGACTGTCACCACCAGGACTCGAACCAGGGACCCTCGCTTGTAGCCAGCGATGCTCTAACCACTGAGCTATGGTGTAGTCGTCATCCCAGCAGAGGCCGTTCAACATTTTCTTCAGACTTCGTAACTCACAGCGGCAGACAGCGGCAGGGAACTATCCTGCCGTCTAGGTGATGGGTTTTCCTAGGCCTCCCGCGTTTGGGCCTCTCAGATTGCGCTCCCCCTCTGACATCTGTGTTGGACGGGCTTGAGCTTGGCAGCTCTTTGGAGGTGCGTGCGGAACCGCCATTGGTGCAGCCCTCGGGTGTGCCTCAGTCTGTGCCTCTGGGTGCTTTGCATGGGGCTGCGCCTCGAGTGGTGACAGCACCTCTGCCTCCCCCTGACCATCCTCCTTCGAGGTCTGTGTTGGTGGGGAGCACCCGCGGCGGTCGATTTGTCCCACCGGAACCAGAGCTGGATTCAACAGAAAGACCAACAACCATGGCTGCAACAACAACACCAGCTTCACATCCAACAACAACACCAGGTTCACATCCAACAACAACAACAACAACTAATCCACAAAACAAAGCAGCAAATGACAGACCACGGAGATCTACAGCAGATTACAACCGGACCTATGAATTCACGGTAAAAATACAAAGGAAACAATCGGAAAGGACGACGACTGACGTGAAGGCAACGGCATTCACGGTTGGCGTGGGTGGTGAAGGTGAGACGCAGGACGATGCAAGTGAGGAGGAGAGTCAAACCGCGGTGGATGACGGAGCAGGGACTGATTCGGACAGTAAGGGAGAAGGTGAGCTGAGTGAGGGTGAGAGTGAGTGTGAGGGTGTGCGCGTGAGTCGAGATTGTGTGCGTCCGTCTCGTAATAACAAGTCTTCAGTATACAATCATTTGGTTTCTAGTACTGACTGTTGTCGTACTTATTCTGATTCCTGTTTTTCTGTTTTGTGCCGTGCTCGTCATGGTTATCTTTTGCAGTTACAAGTTTTGGAAGCTGTTTGTCAGCGCATTCATAAGCCGAATTTGTGTGTCCAGAAAGATAGTGTTATTACCCTAAAATTGTTCAAATAATGTTCTGTTGTGTAGTGTGGCAACGTTGTTGCCACTTGTGCCTAAATGTGTTTTGTCACCTTCTTGTTTATTATTGTTATTATTATCATTCGTTCTCACTTTTTTGTTTTTGTTGCTGATACACACTTGTCACGCTTAGTTCTTACTTGTATACCCTTGTTTTCTGCACACTTTTGTGAGAAATCGCACCTCGATATTCCAGTGCTGTCATTGTATCGTGTCACCCTACCTTGATTGCTATATTATTTCCTTTGTTCTCATTTTGTTCTTTAGTACAACGGTGATTCCTGAAGAGTGTTGTACGAAAACTTGTTCGAATCATCTTTTTTTTCCATTGCCCTTTTTCTTCTTACATGTATTTTTCCTTACCCTTTAGGTTGTTTCTTGCATCGTCTCCATCGCTTACATTGTTTGTTAATAAAGTAGTCCACATGTCGCTTCAGCTCGTCCTACTTATTGCCATATTATAATTATTATTATTTCAAATGGTGAACGGTACTATTCGGCCAATAAAATCTAAAGAACTCTTCCTCTCCTCTCCTCCATGCGCTCTCACAGCCGACTCACTGCTACCCTAGTTTCAGTATCTACCTGCAACCCTTCCTTGGTTGGTGTGTGTAATGGCTACTGAGGGTAGCAGTGAGTCGGCTGTGAGAGCGCATGGAGGAGAGGAGAGGAAGAGTTCTTTAGATTATTATTATTATTATTATTATTATAAGCACTATCGCGATGTAAGCGGGGATGCCTACTTCACTTCTGCCATTCAGGATGATGATAAAGAGAAAGACAAACAGAAAGCTCAGAATCTTGAGGAACAATGCTGAAGAGCAGAATAGCTGTGATCGATTGGATGCACTACAGAAAGGTGAAAATGATTAGTTCATTGATAATAGCTGGTGAGTTGTCTCGTCATTTCTGAATATTCGGTCTGGAGTGGTTTGAACAGTTTGGTTCTAGCAAGTTGCCTTCAGGGTGCGCCAGCCTTTTCTGTCTTGGGCTCTGGTGCGCCAGGTCTCAAGATCAGTCTGCGTCCGGGTGGGGATACCATGGCTGGTCAGGTCGGCGATGACGGTGGTTGCAAGGGTGGTACGCGGCCGGCCGCGGAAGCGTTGTGCAGCCGGGTCACTGGCCCGGCGGAAGTATGCACCCATAGCGAGTTGTGCCGGGGTGTCGACTGGTGAGCGCAGAACGTGCCCGAGGAGTCCGATCCGCAGGCGGTTGATGGTGACGCTTAATGGCTGGGTTTTGCACCTCCTGTACAGGGTCTTGTTCGATATGTGCCGGGGATGATGCATGTCAATGATTGAGCGTAGCTGTCGTCGGTGGAAACTGTCCATTCGAACCATTTCAGTTTTGGAAAGACCCCAGGTGCCACTGTTGTACGTGAGGACAGGTATGATGTACGCCTCATACAGTCGCAGCCTGAGACGCTCGCTGATTTCGCCTCGTCGGAACCAGATGAGGTACATGGACCGGAATGCGCAGCCAGCAAGTTGTCTCCGTCTCGCAGCGTCTTCAGCATCCCCTAGCAAAGAGCCCAGTTTTTTAACTGATCTCCACACTTCGTCGTTCCGGTCGGGTTTCCTGGATACTTCTGCATACTCGGTTTTCGAGGCATTGATATTCAAATGCCATTTGCCGAGAATGGTTGGGGCAATGGTTTCCACTTCCCGAAGGTAGGCTTCACTGTGGCTAATGAAGTCAACGTCGTCTGCGTAGCCGATATCGAGGGGCAGACCGCCATCTGACAATGGTCGGGCCGGCAATGCCTGTCGCAGCTCCTTGAGGGCAGCCTCTAAGTAAACGATGAACAGAACGGGAGAGAGGCTATCACCTTGTGGGACTCCGATGTTTGTGGAGAACTTCTCTAGCGGTGCACCTCTTACGCGGGGCTCAAGCCATGTATTGGCGAGCAGCATCTGCACTATGCGTAAGTCGCTGGAGTCCAGGAATGAGTGCAGGACCTCAAGAAGGACATCACGGCGAACAGTGTCGAACGCACGACTCATGTCGATGCCAAGGATATGAATCGTGTCGTGGAAACGTTGAGTCATGGCACCCAACCACTTGTGGCACCATATAATATCGCTGGTACTACGATGGCGTCGGAATGCACTCTGTGACGGGGATAAATTTTCCTCAACCCGTGGCTGAATGCGTTTGAGCACGATCAGTGATAGGCATTTCCGGAGTACCGAGAGCAATACGATTGGCCTTGTGCTGGAAAGTGGCCCAAGAGGTTTCCCGGGTTTCTGCAAGAGGATGAGCGTGCCTCTGCCAACGTCCAGTGGGTCGCTGGTCTCTAGTGCCAAGTTGATTATATGAGGGATTCTCTGAGCAACAGATGGTGGGCAGCGATTCTCTGAGCAACAGATGGTGGGTATGAGCAACAGATGGTGGGTATGAGCAACAGATGGTGGGTATGAGCAACAGATGGTGGGTATGAGCAACAGATGGTGGGTATGAGCAACAGATGGTGGGTATGAGCAACAGATGGTGGGTATGAGCAACAGATGGTGGGTATGAGCAACAGATGGTGGGTATGAGCAACAGATGGTGGGTATGAGCAACAGATGGTGGGTATGAGCAACAGATGGTGGGTATGAGCAACAGATGGTGGGTATGAGCAACAGATGGTGGGTATGAGCAACAGATGGTGGGTATGAGCAACAGATGGTGGGTATGAGCAACAGATGGTGGGTATGAGCAACAGATGGTGGGTATGAGCAACAGATGGTGGGTATGAGCAACAGATGGTGGGTATGGTGGGTAATATTTCAGCATCTCAGCAGTTAGCATGTGAGGACCAGCAGCCCGTCCGTTGTCCGTTGTTTAAACGTTTCAACGCCGCGGAAACCTCTGACGCTGTGATTGGCTTGCAGTCAGAGTCACGATTACAGTACTGATGTTGGTAATAGCAAGAGTAGTATTATAAGCCGTTAGTTATACAGTCGAATGTCACTGAATAGGCTGCCAGTACCAAACTTACTCTCTCCACATCATCATCATGACTGTTTTTGGAGCGATGATCGCTGCTCACTGCTCTCCCTCACACTGAGGACTATTTTTGTTGGTGATTTGGAGCTGATTTGAGGGGAAGAAAACTACGATAAAACTGGAGTTGAGCTACCTAGGTATCTACTGAAAAATTGAGCTACCGCTGGACAGCAGCTGCCGGACCTGTTAGTAGCGTTACATTGTATGGATGAGCTAGCCCTGTCTCGGCCTGCAGTCTGCGGCGTTCGATACCGTAACAATTGCATAAAAATTATCGCAGAAAAGTAGCAATGGCGGGGAAGGCCTAACTAAGGAGGGGGGGGGGGGTGACCGCTTTTACCACTACACAGATGAATTCTAGAGATCTTGACTTGCATGTTGGTGAAAAGTACAGTAAAGTTTGCGCATCCGCGTTACCACCAACTATATGCAACCTGAAACACAACTAGCTTAGGAACTTCCACTCATGCCAGGTCACCACCGACCGTGCATACCGTATTATCTCTCTAATATAAGCACAGTCTCCAATAATAGCACGTCTCCGATAATAGAACACCTTGGGGCAGCATTCAAAAAATAAAGTGCTCAGTCTCCATTATAAGCACACTGTGTAAATTCATTATCTGTACCGGCGAAAAAAAACCGAAATGTGTGTGTCTGACATGAATTTGGCATGGCAACATGCCTCTGAAATGAGGTTTAAATAATAATGGAACAGTCTCCAATAAAGGAACGTCTCCGTTAATAGCACGGGACGGAGGTACATTGAAAAAATAAAGGACCGTGCTTATATTAGAGATAATACGGTATCAAGGTGGCAGATGCAGCGCCTTGCGGTGAGGGTGAGATGGTAAGTTGCGCAACCAATGTGCAACAGGGGGCGAAATCTCATTACTAGCTGCATCATTGTTACCCCAACTCCAAGTAGTATACAGTACGTATCGCCTATAAGGTTGGCGGCTATAGTAATATTATCGCCTATAGTGATCACATTCAATTTTCAAAAGACCCTACTACATTTTTTGCATCGGCTAAAGTAATTGATGTGAAATCAAGTGGTGTCAGAGGCGAACCGGAAGTCACTTCATTGTGAAAAATTGCCCAGTGTTGTTTCGTGAGTTCTACCTGTAGTATAACCTGTATCAGCTGTCCAAAATGCCTCCATTGTGAGGATATGCTGACGTGTGTCAGGAGCCTTGGCTGCATAGGCCTACTATGCAGTATGTATGTGCACGGCATGCTGAGTCTTTTTGATGCCCTACTCGCATACGTACATGCAGTATCGGTCATAGTAATGTAGTTCATCAAGTTTCATGTAATGTAGTTCACGCATGCATCGAGGCATTTGGTAGATGACCGGCACGGTATGCATGCAGTTTGCATCACCCAGCAGCAAGGTCTGCGGAGTACGAAATGAACGATGTTTGTTTCTGACCCCCTAGGGGATTGGGGGTCATCTGCAGCAGCTGAGGGAAAATAATAGCGACCGGGGGTCCCCTCCCATATCAGATTGCGAGCTCGAATGCCCCATCTCCGTCTGTCCCATGAGCCCTGATGAGCACACTCTTCCTCCAGGTCAGTGGATATGCGACGCAATCACAAAAAAATGTTCCTAATTATTACAATGTAGTTTAAAAAAATCTGTGATTGGTGTCCTCGTGACAGCAAATAAATATTAGATGAATTTGGAGAATTACAGAATTTACAGGAGTGATCGGGAAATTCAAACCAAATCTTGGAATAAGTAGACTAATTTGGACTAATTTGGACATCAACCTGCTATCATAAAATTGATCATGAAGGTGTGACGGCCAGCGCTCTGCTGTGCTGTTATCCGTCACAAGAGTTAACCAGTGATGCTAACTAAGCTTTCGGGGTTGGGAGTTCCAATTCTGACAAGTACACAAATTATTATCAACTCTCAAAGTCGCAGCAATAGCATAATGGTGCTCAAAACATGCAGTAAAGCTTCAAGCAAGAGATCTAAAGCGAAGAGCTGAGGCTGCTGCCAGAGCCAGGTCCAGGCACTGAACCGTAGTTATTGATTTGCTCACGGAACGGCAACGCATTGTAGTTCTTCGGATTGCGGAAATTGCTTCTCGACCAGCCGTACACCAGGCAGTTCAGAAAACCTTGCATTGGCATTGTCCATGCCTGGCACAGGACACGCACACGCGCACAAACACACACATACACACATACATACAATCAGGCACCACCAGGATTGTGCTACATAGAAGGCTAAATAAGAAAATTATGGGTTGGCCATTGTCCCCGTCGGCCCAAAAAAAGGGGGGAGGGGCACCCGGTGGTACTTGAGCCGCACCATGACAAAAGGGTGCTTATGGCAACAATTTCACAAACTAAGTTATGGATACAGCGCAATGGCTGAATTCTCACTTAAAAAACGCATTCAAAAAGCTTGATAAACTAATCAAATTCAAAACTAAAATGTGTACTCTCAATATTTCATACTCAACTTTCAAACGAGTTTTTCTCAGTTTGATGTCGCATGCAATAAGCACCCCTTTGTCGTGGCTCATTTTATTATTCTAATTTCTAACGCTAAAGCACTGCTTTATCACGCACCCTTTTATTATGAGCAGAATTCCTTTTGTCCTGATCCAGGACTGCTCATATTTTTAGGGTTGTTTTTCGCTACATGTATCGTCATTTTGGATAGAGCGGATTTAGTCGTGGAGGAATGGGTTTGCAGTGCTGTGTTTCTCAACAGTTACCAGCGCATTGTCATTTGGAGGAAAGGAGTCAGGAAAGATTGCACGGTCTCCCAAGGACCGTGGAAACTGTCTCAATTGCAGTTTTCCTTGCCAGAAACCCATCTCAACAATGTAGCTTCGCAGGTCCATTCCCGGTGGTGGGACATTTAGAGGACATATACAACGTACCCTTGCAAATGGACATACATAAAATGGCTATCTCCGAGCCGTGAACCATAGGTATTCTTGCGGAACAAGTTGCGCGCAAATGAATTTCAAATTCACCGTGGTCGGCACCGAGGCTGCATTATCACAAGTGCTAGTTGGATTTGTTTGTGGCAACCCGTGCAATCCGACCAATCCAATCCGAATCCTGCTTCGACATGTTAAGACACCAAGTGGCATGCTCGAGGTTCTGCATTGCTAGCCTGTGCACCGCACAGACAGTAGACAAAACTGCGGCCAAGTCGGAACTGATACCAATGCAGCTCATTTCCTGTTGTAATGGTATAGCTGATACACAGCAGTGTGCTGAGAGTGCGAAGGCAGAGCGTAGTACAAAGTGTAATGGTGGATCAAGGGCTGCAAAAACCAGCCTTGCTCCACTGTTGTACTGTGTAATAGAGATCATACTTAATTGAGACTGTCGAATACCACAGGTGGAAACGACATATTTTGAGTTTCATTCAAATGTCATAGTAAGGAGCGTACAAGTACCTGTGGAAAGTCATAATTATTATTATAAAGCATGCAATTTCCAAACGGGCGTATATAGTTTCATACCTGGCCCATGAGAACACCAAACTGAGCGTTGTTCTTAACATCCAGTCGTCTGCCCTTCACTCTTGTCCACATAGTCACGATAAGAGCTGTAGCAGATCAGAAACACCACACAGCCAAACTGCTACTGTCAGAGCGCCAACGGCTACAAACACAAAGAATGATAATTCTAGTAATAAGGATCTGCTCAGAAACTGCTTAGCGCAGCGCAGAGCCACAGCATGCATACATGAAGAAATGTCATTTCAACAATGACCTCCACTGACAAGTCAACATTCCTGTTTTTCGCTGTACATGCAATTATCCAAAAACACATGCCATGAAGACATGAAAAGTCATTGTGTCCTTTCTTCATTTCAGAAAGCGACCAAAACAACTGCTATTCCTTTTTGCTACTCAATTCTCTCCTGCCCTTAAAACCAAGAAAATCACTAAGAGAAGATACATACCAAAGAGACGCAGCCTCTTTGGTATGTAAGAGGCCACACGTACAGTGTTGCCAATGAAATCCAACCCAGCATAGATGTACTTGTGGTAGTGTTGTGCACACCCCTCAGAGCTCACAGAGCTCGGGCTATGCAGCACCCCATGCAGCACCCCGTGCTATTCTATTCGTGTATATCACACTGACCAGTAGTGCACATGATCAGCACTAGTATTGCACTATTTAATTTCATTCTTTTTGACGGACCTCTCAAGGGCAAACGACTCGAAATGCCAACTAAGTTACTTGATCACGAGCATGCTATGTAGAAGTACTTGCAAGTGCACAGAGAATATACACATTGATGATCACTTACTTAGCAACCAGCATATGAAGAAGACACAAATATATAGCAGCGCCCGCTTTTGAATCTGCTTCTCCTGAGCTCGTTCGTTGGAGCTGAACACACCTTTATCAGGCAGAAAACATGCAATCAAATCCAAATCAAGCCTCATTACTGTCTGAACATAATGTCCTCTCGGGAATAAAATCAGCATAGTCCACACCACAATATATACATTCCAGCTGTGTAGAACGCCCAACAGTACTCTAGACATGAAGAGTAGTTTTCTTTGCATCACGCGAAGGCAGTTTAACACAATGATCATGACTGCAGTTTGCGGTGTGTATTGCACGTGCTCTTACCCCGACCTCTGATAACTCTCTTGATCATCACACGGACATGTCCATAGAGAACCTGTTCATAACACATCACGCCAACCAAACCAAACGAATAGAGTGTGCTGCGTTTCACAAAAAAAACCCTGAGCACAGAACACAGGCATGTAGTCAGGCTCGTGTGTAGTCAGCATAGTTTGGTCACCGGCACACCAGCAAATGGACACCATAGGTACTACAATAGGCAAAATAGGCAAAATGGCGACTATGAGGATGCCGGTGGTACATGGTCACCACGCCACAGATGTGCGAGCTATGATCCTGGAACGTGTGCCAGTGAGGGCAGTACTATGTACAGTTGACAGAGAATAGTCACGTGGCTGAACTACCTGATGTGAAGTATGTATATGTGATGTCATACAAACTCCGTTGCCACGGGTCAGGGTGATCCTGCCCGTGAGCTCAATTTTATTTTCGCTTGAGTTTCAAGAAGAAGCCAGTTGCTTGTTCCAGTATTCCTTGTACTGTTTGAGAGTGTGGGTCGGACTCTCTTAACTCTGGTTTGGCGAAATGACATACTAGCAGCAGAGGACCGATCTGCAAAGACAAAGGTCTATGATCTCAATCTTCTCACCAAAATTGCAGTGAAGGACACTGTGAGGACAACGATGAATACAGTTGATCCATACTGAGCCATTGTGATACCCTGAAAACAGCAAAAACAATGGTGATGATACCAACGATATTAACAAGAAGATAATTCAAGACGACAACAAGAACACCGACAAACTATGAAAATGACCCGAACAAAGCAAGTTGCAACATACATCATAGACACGGATCCCGCGCGGCCTTGCTAACTACAAATTAATGGCAGGAATCCCACACATTTTCTATGTCATCAAGTTTCCATTTGGGAATTCAAATTATCTCACTTTCATCTGTAGTATCACCACATTTGGTGTGCACAAGCCAGAATGGGGAGAACTGGAGAAATCACTCACCGACCACTTGTCTTCATCACCATTTTCAGGAAGATCTTCTGCCCACAGTGTCACACATCTGATACAGCACATCGTAGTAATGAAGGATGAGGGCAGGGAAAAGAGAGAGGGAGAGAGAGAGATAGAGAGTGGGAGAGAGTGAGAGATGTGACCGTTAATTATTTAGCTGGAGTAAGTTCTAAAACTCTGAATCACTACCCTATAACAATTGCATATTACACACAACGTGCAACTCCATGAACTACACTATCGTGGCAGTCAAACCAACGGACACATAGCATTCACCTCTGCTTACATTGTCCTCCTGATTATCACAAGGTGAAACAAAACAAAACGAAATTCATTAGAGCGGGCTTACCTTAGGCAATCGCTCTTTGGGATGCCACTCGTTAGCCTTGGGATGGTCAGTGCGATGGGCAGTATCCTGATCAAGAAATCGACATCAACACACAAACACAGTCACTGTTCTGTAGACAGCAGTGCTGAAACAAATGATCAATGCCGTGACATCAAAGTACTTGCACATTGAAGTATGACTGCAGCGCATGGGATGTTGAGCAAATGGAGCAACACCTTGCATATCATACGGTCTTCGTTACATGCTGTTTAGTGGCCACACAACCACTGGTCACCACACACTTGGTGCCAAGCACAACATCGCCGCTTACCAGCACAACACATAGGCTATCTTCTGTATAATGAACCTCCTCTGATTGAACGCTGCTTTCTAAACAGGCCAGAAGAGCACACATATAGACAACCAAAATGAAGTGATCTTCTCAAATTACATTATAGTGCAAGCACATACTACAGTCGTAAACATCTGTCTGCTAATCTACAGTTCGGTGAAATGCAAATTTTGATCATTTCAAGGCTGCCAAATAGGCAAATACCGTGATGTTGAAAGATACAAATAATCTAAGCCCCCCCCCCCCCCCACGCACACACATGCACACAAACTCATGTGCTTGCACAGTGTCAATGCACACATGCACACATCAGTGTCTGGTGTGAAGAGGACCTACCCTTTCCCGGCTGCTACTGCTTGTCATGCTCATCTCGTACACCTTCATCCACGTCACCAAGGCATACATTACAGTTAGCAGATGTGTCAGAAGCTCCAGGCACTGCAGTGCACACCATACCCACCGGCAATGTGAGAGTTGGCAAAGAACAGACACAGAACATTTGTACTTTGTACGTACTGTTGAGGCAACGAACTGAAAATAAAAAACCAGAACGTACCTTTTCAGAACAACAACAACAAACAACTAAGGGACAGTTCGTAAACACTAGTCATTCTTCAAAACGAAACTTTGCAACTGCCCCCCCCCCCCCCCCCAACCTCCAGGGACGTGCTGACATCAATCTTTTCAGAGCACATCGACATTTTTCAACTCACTTATGAAGCAAACCACCTCCCCCACCCCACCCCACCCCCATTACATAGTTTCGCTTTTTGTAATGTTATTTACGGACGAACCCTACAAAAACCTAACGAAGAAAAAGAAGCCAATGATGACCTTGCTTGCACTTACCCAAACAATAATAGCGACAATATTGCAGGGCTCGTCTTTGTGATGGATGAACAAGGCATTCCCTACCACCCAAACACTGGACAGGAGGAAGTCAGCAATTCCTAGGAAGAACAATGGGTGAATCTGCAAAAAGAGGATAGCAGTCACACCGGCCCGGGGCATTCAAACACACACACACACACACACACACACACACACAGGCAACACACACAGGCAACACACACACACACACACACGCAGGCAACACAGGATTCCAGCTAGCCATCAGTGCCACAACATTGTTCGTGGAGAAATCAGCCATGTGAACAACGGTCCATGCAGACTGTCCCCCAAAGGAGACAATGAACCACGGAGCATAGATACGATAACTCACAGTGACAATACCATCCCTAATCTAGTACTTACAAACTATCCGAACAGGATCATGCAGGAGGATCAAGAACAGTAAAACCTGGCTTAAGTGAAAACCACCCCACGGTGCAAGCAAAAGCAGTTGTTAAAGCCAGGTGGTCTTTAGAACCAGGTCCCACAGTGTCTGTGTAGAACTGTCCGTGCATGGAAAAACGGTCGTTAAGAGCAGGTGGTCGCTAAACCCAGAGGTTGCTAAACCCAGAGGTTGCTAAACCCAGAGGTTGCTAAACCCAGAGGTCGCCTACACCAGGTTTTACTGTACTAACAACTATGAAAAGAGGATCATGCAGGAGAGGGTCCAGTACATGACATATCATGCAGGAGAGGGTCCAGTACATGACATATCATGCAGGAGAGGGTCCAGTACATGACATATCATGCAGGAGAGGGTCCAGTACATGACATATCATGCAGGAGAGGGTCCAGTACAGGACATTGTAGTTACCTCTGAAGATGATAGCTTGTGTTTCTTGAGAATGTAGATGATAATCGACACAGAACCAATAAAACTGCAACGATCAGAAAGGAACAAACAAGAAAGCCCGCCATTGTGGCCTTACTGCAATGTAACACGATCGGCACATGCCCCAAACCAGACGATGAGTGTTACTTTCTGCAGCGTGCTACATTGTACGGAAAGAAGAGAAGGGTCAAAAAACGTTTCCATTGGGGATAGCGGTAAGAGAAATGGTGCATGCACTTTGGTCATTGTTTTTGGGGTGCTCATTGCACCCTTGGTGCATTGATCTGTTTTCTGTCTTTGTGCGAGCTTGTGTAGAGACACCATGCACTGCAACCGCCATACTCTCCACCAAGGCTTCATACACCAGTCGGGGACATTTGCCTTACCTCAATGAAGAAGCTGTCAACCTCGAGTACGCCAGCACATTCAACTGTACAACAGAAAACATTCACAAAGCCGTTCACAGGAGCCAGTATTGTGAGCGACTACTCCTGTTCCGGTTTGCACCGAAATTTTCTAATTGCTGGTTTTCAGGGGGTTCCCCTGTCCCCTGCCCTTTTTCTATTTATTATTATTTCGTGCTCCAGGTTTGTACGATAATCTCCTAATTTCATTCACACCATGTCTTTTCGTGTTCGCGACTTTTCGCATGGTAAATTCTGAAAAGTGACCTTGAATACGATCTCAGCAACGTAGCAGGCCAGTTTCAAATGAACAAACCGGCGACATGGTCTTTCGTATAGATTTGGGTGTAGGTAAAACCAGCCAGACGTATTTCTCTGATATAGCAAGAACTCGACAGTGCATACTGCCATGCTGGTCAACTGCACACGATTTTAAAATCCCAGCCGGTACTCGGATTTTCACGTTCTTCTGTTATATGTTTAGCCAGTTTAGGGCTGAAGCGACCGAGGATGTTCACATTCAAAGCAGACAGTGTCAGACTTGAGTGCAGCAATTACTCCATTTCCCAAGTTACATGGTTATCTACATAATACCAAAATAGACCAATAACAAGGTCGAAACAGCATGCTCTCCGGAGATTGAGTAATACCAAAATAATTGAAAATACGCATGAGTAAAAGGGGAACTCAGAAACATAGCCATTGAATCCCGCCTTCCCTCCCTCCGCTCAGAACGAAAAAAATGTTGACATACATACACACGTCACATGACTGACTACATGCATACACAACAAAAGTCACAACTAAAAGTTAAAACTAAAAAGTCTGCACTGCGAGTGGCAACTCGTAACATTTATTTGTCCTTTCCCTTCTCCATGAACGAGCTTGTTTCTTGGCATTTCTAATTTTCTACCTGTACCGGCACATGTAGTTGATAAAGTGGAGTTCTTTTTCGGAGAGCCTCGTTGCGCCAAAACTGGCAAACGATTACAGTGACGGTAGTGGTCTGCCTCACCACGCACGCCACTTCTTCACGAGAGACCACGGGGACAAGGCACACGGCACGGAGCATTTCACATAGCGAGTCAAGAGCCTTCATAGCACGAAGTGTAGACCCAGAATAGATGGCATTTCCATCCTCTCTTCAGTTCTATCCCTCACAGATATGTGCTTACCCGACTGACGTTGACTAGCGTTCCGGAGCAGTCCGTTAGTTGCAGCACGGAGGACTGGTCTAGCGTTCCGTTGCCCATTGCTGATGCCTGTGGTTGCAACTAGAGTTGAGAGGCGTGTTCATATCACCGCCGAGACTAATGCGTAATGGCGGCGATGGTCATATGGGACAGGCTGAAGAGAGAGCTACCAAGTTGAGAAACTCATTGCAGAACAAATGCAGAATGTGTCCTTCTTTCATACAAAGAAAGGAAACCTGGACTTCGTTGACTTGTAAGGTTAGTGACGTAGCGCGCCTAGCTGTGCCGTCAGCTGTCGACTTGTCGTTTCAATGCACTGGTTGCTGCCAATGTAGACTCTACAACACTGTCACTGGAGCTTACCCACTCGGCCTGCACACTGGCAAGCTCAAAGCGGAGACACGAAGAATGGTCGTAGAGACTCGGAGACGGTTGCGTCCAAGCGAGTGGCAGGAACGAAACTGATGTTTACCATGGTCTACGCCCAGACTGGGCTAGAGACGTGAAGCCTGTGACATCTCCTTGCTACTACTGGCAATCACGTGCTGCTGCCGTGACTCGCACCGCACCGGAGAGATCGAGAGTACTAGTAGAGTGTAGATGGTAGATCTACCCTTACTTAGTCTGTAGGTCTACAGTAAAGGTGCAGGTGCTAGCGCTCTATGCCAAGTGCACTAGTGCCGCCGCTGTACTCGTATCTAGAGCAGCAAGAATCTACACAGTACTCGTACACGGATAGTGTTCCCGACCTTCTTTTTTGTGTATTTCTTCACTAGCTAGCTCTTTTCATTGCGGGTTTGAGGGAAAGTTGCAAAAGGGAAATAATACTTTTTGTAGTAAATACTAGCAGTGACTCGTTTGGCCAAAGCATTTGTAGCTATCCTTCTACGGGTGCCTAGCTGGGTGGTCTTGCACTGGCACAGTGTCAGTGGCATTCAGAGGCAACACAAACATTCTCGACTCGAGTGCATGTCTCACATCATATCAGCGGTGAAAAGGCCTGGGTGGCTTCACCTCGTGACTGGCAATGACAGCAAGCATTTTACTTTGGAAGCAGGCTGCTACAGCATGTAGATCTTCCAGTGCTAGTGTAGTAGTAGTAGTAGCCTTGTAGGTCACTAGCTGCACCGGTGATACTCTGGCTGAGTCAGCCTTTCACACCTTTCAACTAACTTCTCTTCATGCAGTTTTTCGCCTTCACTGAAATGCATTCCACATTTTATCACGTGAGGGATCAACATCTCATGAGACAACAACGGATTAGCACCATGCAGACAGATTCTATTCGCATCCATTTCCTCGAAAATGAATGAATGCTGTGTCGCTGCTGTTGAACACCAACAATAGACACCCTTAGCAAAAAACGTTATGTTGTAACGGTATTATCGTAAGGGGGAAAATAGCGTGATTTGGGTTCGACCTTTAGCAAAATGCACGCTATTTTTAGTACGCTGTTGCCACGAAAGTAGCTTTGATTTCGCGCGGTACAACCCTTTTTGTCACCATATACGCGATACAAGGTGAAATGCGTACGGACTATGCAATATTTGGCCAAAACACGTACCGTTGGTCACAACGATAAATCAGCCCCCATAACGTTTATACGCTGCAGCTTCAACGCTATTTGGGTGATCAAGGTACGAGTACCGTAAAAAATAGCGTTACCGTTGTTTGCTAAGGGTGTCTATTGGCCCATACTGCCATAGCAGTGCACAATACTAGTAAAGAATACTTGTACTGCAGTAGTATTACCTGCAGCAAGAGTACATACCCTGAGTATGCAGGCTACAGGTGTCGATCTGCCCTACACACGTTCACAACATAACCGCTACATACATGTTTATACAAGAACAGAATTCGTTCTAAAAAATGCTGTATGCGCGCACCCAGAAAATGCTCTCCACAAATGTCAATCCCATCCAGGTACAACATCGGCCAAATCGATGTCTCCTGAAAATGTTTGATAACATTTGTGCCACTTGAAACAAGAACCAATCATCGGCAGAACGCAGAGCATGTGGATTACACTCGAGAGTCTTGCTTGCGATGGCAAAGGAGGCGAGCAATACACCAGAAGCTAACACAAGAGATGTTCCGAGAATAGTAGCAGGCAGTTCTGTTTTAGAGCACGATGTTGGTGCCCGCAGATAAAGCAACACTGTGAATTCATCTGCAAGAAATAGTATACACTTTTAAAAAGACTGGTGCATTTGCAACAACAATATAACACATGAGCAATAAATACAATACGGAGCATCAGCAAATCGAATTTTCCAGTGAAATTCGATAATCGTCACGAAAAGCTCTCAATCAGTCGAAACTAGGGCTTTGTTCGACTGAAAAATGCCCGGAAAGAGAAAATACTTTTCGAATACTTTTCGAATGCTAAGCGCGTACTCTAGAAGAGTACACGGCGCACTACGAGTACTCATACTTGCGCATGTACATGTAGCTACTACAAGTACAAGTAGTAAACTAGTGCTTACTACTGTACATGATAGTGTAGTCATTATACATGTACATGTATACCATGTACTAGTATACAGAAATCGAATCCGAAAACATGATTGTAGTCGTAGTTGTCAGTGCACATGCACAAGGCACAGTCGAACCGGACTTCACGCTTTCCTCTCTCTCGAACTGTGAAACGTTTTGTCAAGTGTGCTTTTTGTTTCATTTCAAGATCCTGGAATCATGGTTTCTTTCACCACCTACCAGCCGCGCGCGGTATATGCCTCCTGCTCCCAAAAGAGAAGCGAATCCAACAAATCGACTTGCTCTGCAACAAACGCAGCCATTGCACATCTCAAAATCCCAGTCCTCAACAACAGGGGTAGATCTACTCAGGCTAGAAAATTGAACTCGATTCGAAAATACTGGACTACGCTACATGCTGAACCTCTTTTTCATTCGAATTTTCGGTCTGATTTTCTCTTTGCCATTCGAATAATCAAATCGAAAATTCGATTTGCTGATGCTCCGTAATATCGTTTTCGTGAAATGTTAGAAAATAGCTGCGATGAAATAAAAAATCTTTGTTTTGTGGATTATGACAGCAAGGATTTCAGTTGTCGTTGTCGTGGCTATATTTTACTTTGCAATTACATGTACATATGTCATATGGGCAATGTGTCCACTAATTATGGCGGCAAAGGTGATGTGTCAAAGCAGAATAACTCATAAAGGGAAAGTCAAAACAGGTTTGCTCTTGATGGAATCATGGCATTGTGACATCACATTATAGCGTGAATACAGACAAAAGTCCCAAGTTTCAATGGGCATGCTACAGTACAAATCAACTGCAGAAGAAGAGTTCAACATTCAAATAATCTGCACTTGACCTTTACATTGCGAGCAGCCAGCGTATGTAGAGTAGTCGAGTGTTTTCCAGGTGGAGGACAAACCCAGAGACGCACCAGGTTGAGTGCTAGATGACAGTGGCCTGGCCTTGGTGTAGTGAGGCAAGCGACTCAGGACAGCCTGCAGAGTTAACAACAGCAGCAAACACACACTACATCAGTTTACATCACAGAAGACAGAAACTCGGTACACGTAGTACTGTATGACGGTATGCTCACCAACGTACCAGTGATACCAGTGGCACGGCATAGCACCTGCCACCCAAACACAACACTAATGGACTACACTGTACTAGTACATGTACATTCAGCTGGGGAACAATCACACTACATCACACTGCATGTACATTGCACATAGATTCAGACAAGAAAAGAGAATAACACCAGCACGCACACATAATTATGGTGACTGTGAAGTGAGAACTGCTCTACCAGACTTACGCTGTGTGCAACAGACTCTGCATTGCTGGGACGCCACTGCACATTATCCAGGACATGTGTATGCGATGTTAGCGCAGTGGGGCCACTGGTACCGTGCGCAGATCGCTTCTGTCCACCGTCGGCAGCATTACCTGTGACCATGGCTGCACCGGCGTGTAATGCCTGTAGTAATGAAGTGACATTATTCGAACACCAAGCCGACAGCTGAGAGCAATGGCGAGATAGTAGGCCAGTAGTCACTTCCAGTACACCGCTGCTGTTGTTGGCATTTGCACCGCTACCGCCTTTGCACTCCATCACGGGCACGGCTGTTGTCGTGTTCGTGGCGTGTTGCAAGCGCTGGCAAGCAACGGACAACTGCTGGTAGGTGAAGCGCAGGTCACCGAACACCTGCCGCTGCTCGGTGAGAAGCTGGTGAATCACACCGCGACTCTCCACCAGCGAACCCTGGAGCTCCGACTGCAGAGAGGATAGTTCTTCAATCATAACACTGCAGTAATAACATCCACATACAAGACGCACAAGACAACACAGGCAAACAGAATGGCATCGTTTGCTATGCATATTGTGCAAGAATAACAGGAATGAGACCTAATAATAAATGAAACCAATCATTAGTAGGTCCGTCCTGCTTGGTTACCGAGCAACATGAATAACAACAACATAAGCTGCACATAAACAGTACAACATTCCTTTACTTGTAGTACTGACACAGCTTTTGGCATTGCAGTCTATCATACATACCCACAATTCTACACTCGTCACAGCACAGTTGCAGTACCTTACAGGCAAAATATCAGTTTTGGGCTCCAAACATAGCTACTGAGATGCACTCAAATGCCAGTGTATGAGTAGCAATCCCAGCAAGCAGCAGCAGCAGCAGTGGCCAGCAGCACTCACCTGCTTGCTCTGTACTTGCTCTGATAGACATCGCACTGTATGGCTAAGTGCTCTACACGTTCTCGCAGCAACTGTAGCTCCTTTTCACGTACACTCAGCAATTCAGTGCTTTCAGCGTTCTCATGGCAAAGACCATCAAACCTGACCAGAACGCGCCACACACAAATACCAAACAGATACAAATGTCAAACAACTAGCAATGGGATGTCAAGCCGTCCAAAGGCAGCAGTAAATTCTAGCACTGGTGGCATGCTGATAACTTGACATTTCAGTCATGGACACATTTAGCCATCTGGCTAGATCCAGCAGATACCAAGAAGAAATAGCTGCATACCTTTCTTGCAAGTCATCACCAATGGATGCCACCAACAGCCGCTTTAGCTCCCCATTGCGCTGAAAAAAAAAACAGAGCAAAAGGCAAAAGGGAACTAAGGTAACACCTAAACATTTAATGAATAAACACAGTCGAAATAGAACAGCAGGATGGAAGAATAAAACAATATTGGGAGAGAGAGAATGGGAGAGATTGTAATGAAAAGTGTGTGGGAGCTGTGTGTGGGGTGATACAAGAAGGGATCTTACCTTTCTCTGGACTACCAGCTGATGAGTCAATTCTGCCTTCTCCTTGAGCAGTTTCTTGCAAGCTTGTTCGGATGAAGCGATAGCATCAGCTGAAGTCACCTCTCCAACAGAGCGCAAGTGCTCCAGTTCTATTTGTGACGACTCGGTGTCAGGCGACTTCTTGTGCTTTCTGCCAAGGTGCGATCGGTCGGGTGAGAGGTGAGCGCCTCCATTACGTGCTTTCTGAGAGGATACAGCTGGTAACTCCAGAGAAGACCGGGAATGTGATGACAATGATGATGATGCCAATCGTTCCGGCAGGGTACTGCTAGAGCTTGTGCCTGTAGATATTGTTGAAGACTGTGCCTGGTGTTGTGCCGGGATGCTAGCAGTGCCACGGACAGCAGCAGCATTACTCTTGCTTACATTGGCGATCGTATGTCCAGGTGTGCGCGGCTGATCAGTGATAGTTGATACTGGTGCTGTGAACGCTCCCGCAGAGCTAGCCGTGGCAACACCAGCAACAGCAGACTGTGCAGGCTGATGCAGTGGCACTGGTTGTGCTAGGCTCATTGCTGGTAGCTGTGGTGTTGATCTGCCACTGAGTGAGAGTGGCGGAATGACTGATTTACCATGGATACCCGATACAGGTTGGAATGGTATACCTACGTTAGCAAACACACACATGCACAACACACACACACACACACACACACACACACAAGACAAGCCATATGAACTCGCCAAAGACAGGCAAACCAAGCCCCCCCCCCCCCCCCCCCCCTGTCCTGCGTGTGTTCCTGTGTACAATTCAAACACACACAACACACACACACACACACATGCACAACACACACACACAACACACACATGCACAACACACACACACACACACACACACACACAGACACACATGCACAACACACACACACACACACACACACACACACACACACACACACACACACACACACACACACAAAATGTGTCCATGGCACTTACAGTGTGTGGCAGATTTATTAGACTCCTGCAGAAAGCTACCACCATGGCTACTTTCCATTCCATCACCTTGATATCGTGTTGGCCAACTGGGCCCTATACATATCATAGCAGAAAACCAACAAAAACACAGCGTAAGGATCACGAACACAAATGTTATTTATCCAAAAAGATATTCTGGAATTCCCTTTTCTTCTTTCTATACTTGGTGTTCAGCCATTATAGTGCAGAGAGAGAGAGAGAGAGAGAGAGAGAGAGAGAGAGAGAGAGAGAGAGAGAGAGAGAGAGAGAGAGAGAGAGAGAGAGAGAGAGAGAGAGAGAGAGAGAGAGTGTGTGTGTGTGTGTGTCTGTGTGTGTGTGTGTGTGTGTGTGTGTGTGTGTGTGTGTGTGTGTGTGTGTGTGTGTGTGTGTGTGTCTGTGTGTGTGTGTGTGTGTGTGTGTGTGTGTGTGTGTGTGTGTGTGTGTGTGTGTGTGTGTGTGTGTGTGTGTGACACTTCTGTGCTCTGCGATGTCTGCCAGCGTACTTTCGCCCACCAGAAATACAAGAATCGCCACAAGTGCCTGGCCGAGAGGAGGAAGCCCATATCTGAGCAGTCCGGCAGCCGACTATGTAATGCGTGCGGGAGATGGTTCTTGAGTGCTGGCGGGCTAGCTTCGCATAAGTGTCTCTCCAACTCGGCTGCTGAAGTGGCGTCGGTCTCGGCTGTGGCATCGGCAGACTCGGTCCGGAAACAGTGGGTTGCCCTGCCCTGCTGCAGAGCGCATTGTCTCGGCTGCGGTCGCTGCTGCAAGTCATCCCGTGGTTTCGACCTGCATAGCTGTGCAAATTTCCTGTCCAGGAAGTAGAGCGGCGTTTCTGGATCCAATGCTGAACTCAGTGCTGTCGACCCCTGCACAGGGGACACGTGACCATTTGATGGCAGTGTTACCAAGGACCAAGGTGTGTGTGTGTGTGTGTGTGTGTGTGTGTGTGTGTGTGTGTGTGTGTGTGTGTGTGTGTGTGTGTGTGTGTGTGTGCGTGTGTGTTTGTTTTCTTTCTCTGGAAGACTGTATGCACTAAGAATATCAAACATAAGACACTGCTAAAACTGAGAAGAAACTTAGAATTGGATTCAACCACTGTTCACCATGAACTCTTTTCAAGACAAGGAGAGAAGCAAAACAACAAAACCAAAGCTGCTAGAGCACTGCACGCGGAAAAACTCTGCACGTGAGATGCCGTGCAGCGGGAAAAAGGCCATACATCTGAAGCATACGTCTCGTGCACAGGAGCACAAGCCCGGGAAAAACAGGGTTGATGATCACATGATTTCACGCATGAGTGATACCATACATGACCTACAGACCTAGAGAATGATTGTAGTGAAAACAGACACATAAATCATACATTTCTCCCCTCTTTGCTCGAATAAGGCAGAACTATGGTTGACGGATGAGAGCAAGCTAACGTAAACAGAAGAGATCACACTACATGTATAGCATGGATTGAACGCTGCACCAAACTTGAGTGGAACGGCCAACGCCGGAGAATTGGACTGTCACCTAAGAACAATTTTGAATTTTAAGATGATGAGAAAAACAGCAGATAATGATCTCCAAGTCGGGTGCATGACCATATCAATGTTCCTTAAGAACATGTCACTTTGCTGTACAATACTGTTCGTTGCTGCTAGCAGTTCACACGGAGCGAAACTGTTCACTACTGCTAACAGTTCACTGCTCACTCTCGAGTGGAATCAGGACATTGATAGCACGTCGGTACACCCGCTTGCGGATCTTGACGTCCACTACGCGTACACAACCGTCCTCAGCCGGGTATACAGCAACCACTCGACCGAGTGGCCAGGTACTTCTAGGGGTGTGTGCGTCAACACAGATGACGACATCGCCCACCTTGATGTTGCGTTTCTTCTGCTGCCACTTCTGCCGGACGTTCAACGTTGGAACCACCTCCTTCACCAACCTTCGCCAGACGTCTTGAGTTAGGCGCTGTACAACTCTCCACCTGTCATGTGGATCAGGCTGTCCGTCAGGCTCCAGATGATCGATGGCGTGGTGGATATCGCGATGACCCACGAGGAAGTGCAGTGGCGTTAGCGGCTCTAGATCCTCGGCATCGTCACTGATACTCGTAAGAGGTCGGGCGTTCAGCATAGCCTCCGCATGAACGAATGCGGTCGCAAGCTCTTCATCACTGCACACTCCATTTTCGAGAACGGCGTACACTGCACGCTTCGCCAGCTTGATCATAGACTCGAACACACCTCCGTGATGTGGCGCGCTTGGTGGATTAAATCTCCAGTTGATCTTGTTTGACGCCATGTCTGCCGCAACATCTTCAGAGTGCTCCAGCTCTTCCACGGCGTCTCGCAGCTCTGCTTCAGTAGCGACGAAATTGGTGCCGTTGTCAGAGACGACATCCTTCGGTGTGCCTCGCCTCTTACAGAATCGGGAGAAACACATCAAGAACCCCTGCGCCGTCATGTCGTAAGCCATTTCCAAATGACACGCACGTGTCTCCAGACACGTAAATAGGCAGAGATAACGCTTGGCACGGCTTCGTCCACGGCCTTGCCTTGTCGAGAACGGCCCGGCGTAGTCCACGCCAACGCCAGAGAACACTCGTTCAGTGATAGCGACACGCTGCTCAGGAAGCTGTCCCATGAGTTGGGATGCTGGCCTGTTCCACCGTCGTCTGCAGCCGTTGCAACCGTGTCGATGCGACTTCACTGCCTGCTTCCCGCGGACGATCCAATAGCGTTGTCGGAGATTTGCGAGTAGATAGTTGACTCCGAATTCGTGATGACACTTCTCATCCTCCGATGCTATGACGAGTGAGGTGATCTGGTGCTTAGGTGGGAGAATCACGGGCCGGCGTGTGCATGCCGTAACCTTCGTGCTAGCATTATCGAGCCGTCCGCCGACTATCAGCACTGCAGGATGCTGACTTGTATCCAGTTCTGGATTCAGTGGCAGCAGCGGATCGCCATTCTCAAGTGGTTAGCCACGCTCAAGACGGCTGATGGTGCGCCCATAGGACTCGCGTTGAGAAACGGAGAGCCAGTACCTCTCTGAAAGTACCATCTCCTCAGCCGACAGCTCCGGTACTGGAACACAACTGCCGCTGCAGTCGCAACTCCCCTCTGTGCTGCTGGCTGGGAGAGGTTGCAGCAATCCATCTGATGTGGCAGGTGCACTGGCTTTGGTTGATTCAGCTGCCTGCTTGCAGTTGCGGAGGAAACGAAGGCACCAGCACGTCACGCGAAGAAGTCTCTTCCATGACGAGTACCTGGCTGGTGACAAGCGAGACTGTGCAGGCTCCGCTGCTGTTGTGACAAACGCAGATGCCAGGGCTCGCTTCGTCTCTCCACCGACGTATGATGGCACAGTGATCTCTCGAATTGGCCACTGATCGGGAGGCGACGACAGGAACTCCGGTCCGGACCACCAGACTTCATTGTCAGCTAGCTTCTCCGCTGTCAATCCACGACTTGGCAGGTCTGCGGGGTTGAGTCGGCCCGGGATATGACGCCATTGAGCTCCAGAGGTAGCGGCGTGAATCTCGGAGATTTTGTTCCCGATGTCGGTCTGAAACTTCCGGCTGTGAGATCTGACCCAATACAGCACGTTCATACTGTCCGTCCAGAATACATGGTCTCGGACTGGCAGGTTGAGTGCTTTCTCCACCTCGAGGCTCAGCTTCGTGCCGAGGACCGCTGCCTTCAGCTCCAACTTTGGGATGGAGAGCTTGCGGATTGGAGATGGTCTCGCCTTCGCCAGGGCTAGCGTCGTCTTCACCGTTCCGTCTGGATACTGGCACCGTATGTACGTAGCAGCAGCGTACGCTCCATCAGATGCGTCGGTGAACGTGTGCACTTGGATCTCAGCAGTGGAGGGGTCGAGAGTGGCCACCTTGAAACACCGGTCGACTTGGACTGCTGAGAGTGAGGGTAGCTCCGAGAACCATTGCGTCCAAGCCTTGGCATCATGCTCGTCCAGTTGATCGTCCCAGCCATACCCTTTGATGCATAGCTGCTGGAACATCATCCGCGAGCGAATCGGGAACGGGCAGATCTGTCCTCGCGGGTCGAATACTGTGGACATCTCCTTCAGGACTGTCCTCTTGGTCATCTGCTCAGCTGCGCAGCCGGAGAAGACGAAGAGGAACTTGTCGGACTCAGCATTCCAGGTGACACCTAGAGTCTTCGTGGATGGCAGCGTGCTGTGACTGTGATCACCCACCTCGGCAACAGCTCCTGGCGCACGATCCTCCTCTGGAACATCGGCCATTACTGCTGCAGAATTGGACAGCCACTTGCGGATGTTGAATCCACCATCATGGAGTAGTGACTTCACCTCGAGGCGCACACGCTTGGCTGTGTCATCATCAGCACACGAATGGAGTAGGTCATCTACGTAAGTGTCATCGTGGACCGCGGCCGATACGTCAGCTGAGTAGAGATGGCCAAACTTGTTGGAGGTCTCCTCGAGAGCTCTACCCGCCAGGTACGGTGACGCTTTTACACCAAAGACGATGCGGTTGAACTGGTACACCTTCGGCTCGTGCTGCGGGTCGTGCCGCCACAAGAAGCGGTGGTACTTGCGGTCTTGTTGACGTAGCTGGATCTGCAGAAACATCTCTGATATATCGCCGACCAGGGCCACCGGCTCCAGGCAGAAGCGAAGCAGGACGTGAACAATATTGTTCTGTGCCTTTCTGCCAGCATACATCTCCTCGTTCATAGACGTACCTCCCCAGTTGACGGACGCATCGAAGACGACTCTCACCTTGGTGGTCACGCGATCATTCCTCACGACTGGGAAGTGGGGAAGATACCATTGATCACTTCCGTCCTCTGCCGCTGTGGTGGGCTCAACTTCTTCGATGTAGTGCTTCGTCATGTAGGTTGACAGCACGTTCCGGTATGCCTCGTACACAGCCGGTCGTTTGGCGAGCGAGCGCTCCAACGACTGAAGCCGCTGCTCAGCCTGCTTTGCGTTGGACTCGAGGCTCGGAATCCCGCTCGTCGCACTCCACGGGATGCCCATCTCAAAACGCGATCCATCGTGTTGAATCGACTCGGTCACTAGCTGTT